CACAGTCGAGATCGCTAATAAAAGCAGCGGATCTCACTCAGTTTAGCAGCGCCCTTGTGCCAGCAGAGACTGTAAGAAAAGTAGGAGCAGTGGAGAGCGACGCTGGCACTCTGCCAGCGCCACCGTTGCCAGCACTGCTACCTTCTTCTGAGCCTGCGCCGTCAGCAGAGCCAGAAGTTGCTTCTGAGCGCGCGTCGTCTGGAACAGAGCTGCTAGGAGCCTCCGAGCCACTAGATGTCGCTACATCTCCACTGCCTGGAATCACCATGTCGACTGAATTTACGTCATCAAGAGCCGACGCCTCAGAACCAGGAAGTCAAACCATGGAAACCGCAGTTGCTGCCGCCGGAGTTGTCCCTTCAAGCGTTGCCGTAGCAACTGAAGCTACTTCAGCAGTCTGCCGCCTTGGCAGGAACTGCTTTCGTCCTGGTGGGAGCTACCGTTTCGGCAGAAGCCACCATCGTCCCGACGGGGACCGGGGCCACCACCGAACCGAGTATAGCTCCTCAGCCTCCATCAGTTCTGCTGCCGGAGGAGGACGAGAAACTTAATCGTGGTAATGCAAAAGAGTTACTTTCATCATTTCCATCCTCATCAGGCTTGTCTCCTGATGACAAGAGCTTGGACAATGAAAGCGAGAGAGCTATTATGCCTGCAATAAAAGACCTTAAAGACACCTTATTGCTTTGCTTTCAAAAGCTTGAGTCTAAATTAGGAGAGAGACAGCTTGTGCAGCTGAATACAGCCCCCTCTAATGTTTTAACTTTAATTGAGAGTGAACCCTGGAAAGCTTTGGACTGGAAAATTTTAAAAGAAGTTAAAATGATTGTTATGCAGTATAGTTTAAAGAGTGATTATACACGAATGGCATTGTGGTATCTTTTTACTGCTCATTTGTTAACACCATATGATATTCGTATAATTGTATCTATGTTACTTTCCCCTAACCAGCAGCTAGAATTTTTTACCGAATGGAGTGCCCGTTGTGCTACAGTAGCAGCACAGCCTAGGCAGAAAGGACACCCTCTCTTTGGTGTTTCTGCTGACATGCTCATGGGTTTTGGTCAGTACAACAGTGCATATTTGCAAAATCAGTTTCCAAATGAGGTATTAAAAACTAGTCAGGAATTGGCTTATAAGTCATTACTTATGATAAGGGATGCAAAGACAAGACTCCCATGTATTTCAATTAAGCAAGGACCCTCTGAACCGTACGATCAATTTGTAGATCGTTTAAATGAGTCAATAGATTCAGATCCAGACATAGATGATAACATGAAAGCAAAATTCTTAAACATGCTGGCCTACAATAATGCCAATGAAAATACAAAACAGGTTTTGGGTACACTACCTAAGAGTGCTACTACAACCCAGTTTTTAGAAGCTGCTGAAAACATGGTCCAACAAGAGAAAGCAGCCTATTCAGCTGATGCTACAACTGCAGCTATAAAACCCCTTTTGTCTGTAGAGACTGACACTTCTTCAGATTCAGACATAAGTTCTGATGATGATGAAGAAGAAGTTAATACTGGAATTTAGAACAAATCAGCAACATTCCCAGAATTTTTTCAGAATTATTAAATAATAGAATTAGTATAGTGGAGTTTGTTATAGAATAAAGCTGTTATAAGTTTAGAATTATTAGCACAAGAGTATTTAGTAAAGACATTAGCGATTTAAGAATTTTTAACACACTTTTGCACAAAGAAAAGGGGGAAAAGAGAGATATCAGTTTTCCTCTATTGACTTGCAAAAGTGTTTCATATGTTTTCAGTTTTTTGTGCACAGGTGTTCTCTGATTATCTGCACCTAAATGAAACCCTGGAAAGAAGCTGGTTCTTCAAAACAAGGCTGATGTTGTTACTGTTGCAGGTAACAGTGAATTACCAAAAGGGCACAGTATTTAGTCTTATTGAGAGCACAATTTATGAGCACAATTTTTTGATATTTTTAAAGCACATAAGTAAGTTAGGAAGCACATAATTATAGAGGTTTAGAATTCAAGAAAGTGTGTTGTGTGAACTTTAGATTATTCACTATATATTAGTAAAAGAAAGTTTATCTATTTAGTTAAGAAGCTTTAACATCATAAGGTACTAAAGAATTATAACTTTTTAGCTCATAAAACACAGTGATATGGAATTCAAAAGTATGATTGTGTGACTGTTGACAGTGGCCACTGTGAGAGTTTATATGTTTGTATGTGTGTGTGAATGCATGATGATTAATGTGTTTTGATCCAACAAATACACAAACATCTCTAAATAAACACAGAAGACACATAACAAAAATAAATGGAGTTCCATTTCCAGAAGTGTTTTATACTGAATAAAGATTTTTCAAGAATAAATCCTATATTTAGAAAAACACTTTTAAGAAAATTTAAGAGCACAAACCTTGAAGTTATTAAGTTGTTAAGTTTGTTAATGTACTATTATTGTTATATGTAATCATGTTTGTTGATATGTGATTGGTACAACAAGGAGTATTACAGAAATGCAAATCAAATTGTTCAAGAACAAAAAAGGGGATTTGTCGTAAGGCAAAAATTGTGTGAACAATTTTCTTTACATTTCTGTGTGTTTCACCTTAGCATGGCTGGGTGCTGATAGTAAAAAATGCTGCGCCACTACTATGGCTGCAGGCCTTGTGCCAAGATGCCAAGGAGGAGTTTTGGCAGGTGAATAAAGTTTTCTCATCTCCTATGACCACCTGTTGTGGTCCAATTAGCAGGGAACAGCAGAGCATGTTTTCCTTATGTAACCAATGTAGTGTGAACAAGAAGCTGAGCGTCATGAGCACTATATAATCTGTGTTTCTCCTAATAAATCCGACATTTGCCTGATCATATTGATCCTGGAGCAATCTGTCCATACCCTTCCATCGACAGGAAAGTGCCAAGTCTTTGGTCACATGAAAATACAGGTGTACGGCAGATGGGAAAACCATGCTCTCCCTCTTAATAGTGACTGTGGTGAGAAATGGTGAGCTTAAATTACAACAGGAAGATTCAGGTTAGAGGTGTAAAGCTTTCTAATTGACTCTGGGATGGTCATGGAACCTACATTCCTGCTGACCACAGAAAAATGTGTTGGGAAAGGCAGTGGTGGAGCTGGGGCAGATGGACAAGGTGATGCCATCGGGTCTCTTTTAGTCCCTATTTTCCAGTGATAGTTATGCTTTCCCCTTAATGACCTTGAACACACTTTTGCACAACCGGTCTATTGCTGTGTTCCTAATTTTTCCTTTCGCTTTATTTTTGTTTCCTCTCCTCTGTGTATCACCCTTGCCATTGTGCCTCCTGGTGCTGCCGTGGCCAGGCGTCCCTCCCTGCAGCGGCCGTGGGACTGTTCTCGACAGACCTGCGACCGTGAGTGTGCCGAGGGCTGGCAGGGCAGCGACTGCTCCCACCCCGCCTGCCCCGGCCGCTGCAGCGGCCACGGGCCTGAGACAGCGGGACGTGTGTCTGTGACAAGCCTTTCTTGCCCACAGAACTGCAGCGGCCACAGGACCTGTGACACGGCCACAGGGGTGTGCCAGCACCATGAGGAGTTCACGAGCGAGGACTGTGCCGACAAACGATGTCCCGGGGACTGCAGTGGCAATGGGTTCTGTGACACAGGAGAGTGCTACTGCCACAATGGCTTGTTTGGCCTTGACTGCTCCCAGGGTAAGACCTGCCTGTGAGTTATTTCTCCCTTCTTTCTAGCAATTTGAGTTTCCCTCTCCAGCTCCCATACACTTTTAGTTCATCCTGTAGGTAAACCAACCCTGGGGGTCACTGTGTTCCTGGAGTTTCTGCTGCCTGGCTGGCCCTTGTCTTCAAAAATTGCCTCGAAAGCATTGCTGAAATGGGAAAAGATGGAAATGCAACTAAAGGTTGCACTAGCACCAGCCTGTGTGCAGCAGCTGAAGGAGAGAGCAAAATGGGAATGGAGCCTGTAATTAAAGAGGGAGACATTCTGTTTCTTGACGTGCAAATGAGACAGTATAAAATCATGCTTGCCGATGAGGTAGTTGATTTAATAAAACCTGTGAGACAAAGGACACGTAAATCCTTTGAAGTGAGGTCATTGGGAAATTCTCCCTCGTCCTGCTTTGTTACAAGGCGGTAGGATTTGCCTAAGACCTGACCGAGCTGACCTTGAGGGGTGTGTCCAGCAGTTTCTGCTTCATTCTGCAAAACTTACAGCCTCCCTACAACTACAGATTGGTACTCCAGGCTTCAGCACACAGCCTGTTACCCTGGAAGTACCTTTCCTCAGCACATCACTGCTTGATTCTAATCTTTCTCAGCTCCTTATGAAGGAGAAGTAGGTAACAGCCACACACTGAGCAGCAGGTGTTGCTCAGTAAGGCTTTGCAGTGACCTGACTCACAGGTTTGTTCTGCTCTGGATCATCCTTGATCTATCTGTTTAGAGACTCACCTTTTAAATAAAAGATTATTAGCTCAAATTCTTCACTCAAAACAGAGCTCTGTATCAAAACTTCGCTCCTCCTGCCCCTTCCACACTATCCAGAAGTGTTTCCCTGTGGCTCCAGCACTCTTTTCCCCTGTCAGTAGACTGAGATTTGCTACTCAGGGAGCAGCACCTTACTGGCAAGAGGTGGCAAGCAGAAGAGTTTCTCCCAGAGGAGAAACAATTCTGCCAGAGAGCTGTCACCCAGTCAGCCTCTCCCAAAGGGATAGCTGAGTCCAGCCTTGCACCCTCTTCCTCACAGGACGCCTGCAGCTGTTTTACAGGCTGAGATAGTGTTCTCTGTTCTGAGTGAGCAAGGAGTTAATGCATATAGCACAACCCATTTTGTTACTGTTTCTGAGCGCTACACCTCCAGTCCTGCTTAAAAACTCCAAGTCCTAAAGGCAAATGGTTCCCACCTCAGCAGCTGTATCCAAGTGCTCCTCTTGCAGGGATGTCAAACTGCTTGTCTTGTTCTAGTCTGGGTTAGATTTCTGCATCCTGGGATACTTACACTGAGCACTGTTTTTATTTAGATATCATCATTATTATTGTATCCTATTTTTGTGTGTCTCAGTTCATGAAATGACATCTTTTGTTATGTATTACCATGGTAACTGGAATGTCTGAGCATTTAGAAGTTGCTCTCAAGCATGCAACAGTATAATTAATGCCTTGCAGTTCCTTCTGAAGGAGAAATAGAGGACAAGGACATGTTGAATAGCTGAGAGGAAGATACAATCCTCTTCCCAACTATGCTTAGACAAGGAATAAACCACACCATGTGTATTTAGGTTCTTTATTATTTTACTGCAAAGCTGGATTATTCAAATCCAGCTTCTATATCAGAAGAAGAGACAGGATGAAGTCTCATGTTTTGTACAAATTTTTCAATAAAAGCAATGGCATGCATATAAGTGAGGGAGTGTTTGGTGAAAGCTGTGAATGCCACGTCGGAATGAATGCTGCCTTTCAAGTGAGAAGAATCTCCTGATGTTATCTGACCTCGTGTTGCTGACACATGCCTTTTTACAGGCGCTTACTATCTATTTTTCACTATCACTTAGTGCCTTGCTAATGAAATACAGCTGTAGATGGTTTGATCAGCTTAGATGTGCTCACTTGTAATTAAAATCAGGTAAACTTGAGGGTAAACAGATGCTCTACGTTGACTGCTTTCAAGGGCTGCTTCAAGACACTGATGAGCTGTCTGTCTTGTGGCAAAACAGTTAAGGCACTGTTGGTGTTCTGAAATATATTGTAGGCAGCAGGTCTGCCCAGGTCTCCTCCAGGCACCAAGTATAAGCTTCCATCAGTACTCAGTCGGAAAAGTTCAGTTTTCTGCCTCTGCCATGGAGAAGCTGTGTTCCCCAGTTTTGGGGACCGGCTGACATTTTGAAATGGCTGACAGTGATAGGAAAAGAGGGTTTTGGCTTGTCTTTCTCTTCCTAGATGCATTGGAAGGGACAGCTTTATGAGAGAGTTTTTCTTGTGTCAGTGTGACTTTAGAAGCTGTAAAGAGTTGCCCACAAAATTATTGAAGAATTTTGAACTCCTATTCTACCTGTAAGATTCTGGAATCTCTGAAATTCAGCTCTTACAAAAGGGTAGGTGTGCTGTTTCCAAAGACTGAAAAATCCCTTATCAGGCTTGACATTTTCCTCAGGTTGTTTTGTAGATTAGTCCATTAAAAGAAAACTAATTTTAAACAACAGAACCTACAACCTCCACACTGCCATTGTGAGGTTGCTCCTCTGCCCTGTGTAGGTTCTGATTATTTGGAACACCCTTGACTTGTGTTTTCAAGCTGTTCTTGACAGACATAGGGGCTGCAAAACTTCTTTAAAAAGGAAAAAAAAAAATCCACAATGAGTAATGCTGCTCATGTTCTTATGTAACCCCTGGAGTCTAAGAACTGCAACTAAGACAAATACCAGCTGCTTCAAGAGCTACACTGAACTCTGATTCACCACCTAAAATAGCAAAGCCTTGAGGGAGTCAGATAGGTCTGCAGGGTGGGCAGAAAGGGAGGAGCAGCAGATGGCTGACAGTGGAGCAGGGGAAGGGTGAGCCCTGTTCTTGGAGCTGGGAGAGGGCAAGCTGGAAGGACATCCTTGAGTTGGTTCCTATGGAAGGTGAGACAAGTAGCCTGCGAGCTCGTCTTGCAGTAAAAATGGAAAGTTTCATCTAAATGGTAGAACAGACCTGCTTTCTCCCCACCCTGGTTTCTCATGGATGCCTTTCTTGAGGGGATGTAGTGGGAAACCCAGGTGACTGTTTTAGGTGGCCACAGCAGCAAGGCAAAAATGAAGGAAATGTGTACATGGAGTGGTTTGAGTTGGAAGGCACCTTAAAGCTCATCTCATCTCACCCCCTGCTGCGGGCAGGGACACCTTCCACTAGCCCAGGTTTCTCCAAGCCCCGTCCAGCCTGGCCTCGGACTCTTCCAGGGATGGGGCAGCCACAGCTTCTCTGGGCAACCTGTGCCAGGGCCTCCCCACCCTCTGGGTAAAGAATTTCTTCCATAACATGCCATGACAGGTATTGTAGTGGTTTAATTAATCTGGAGATTCCTAATCCTGCACTTTGAAATGCTTTCTCAGGAGTTGATAGCCCAACCAATGTGACAACCAACCAAGTGACAGAGCATACAGCCACTGTCTCTTGGAATAAAGTGGAGACTCCTATAGACAGGTACATGGTGAGATACACCTCAGTTGATGGGGACACCAAGGACATAGAGGTGAGGAGTGACAACAACATGATCACCTTACTGGATCTGAAGCCAGGCATGGAATATGTCATCCACATCTGGGCAGAGAAGGGGCCCCAGAGGAGCAAGAAGGCAAGCACCAGGACTGTGACAGGTGAGCTGTAGAAGCACCAGAGGGAGCTGAGTTTGAAATTCAAACTCCTTCATAATTTTTACTTGTTTTAGGAAAGCTTCTCCTGCTCTGGACATGTTTTCAGTGAGGCAAAAAATTAATGTAATTCTTACTAGTGAGGCTGAACAGGTCTCCAGCTCAGATTAAGACTTTGAGTCCTGTTGTGGACAGACCTTATGGCAAGGGATCGGTTACTATCAGTACAGAGAACAGTGAAATCCAGCCAAAACTAAAACCTCATAACCAATTGGAATGTGTAGTTCATGCCTTGCCTTTAAAATGCCATAAATAATTTCCAAGCTTTTCTTTGGGTGACTGTTGTGGCCTTTCCCAACAGAACAGGGGGCTCACACATTTTGCACATATAATCAGAGTGTTTGTTAAAATGGAAAACCAGATTTATTTGGATCATGGCATAAATTAAGAATTATGGAGGGTATCAAATCTCCCAAAGAGTGGATTTGGTCGCTGTCCTAGTCTCCATTGGAAGGGTGCTTGCAGCAGCATCTGCAGCTGGGTTGGGAAACTCCCTGAACCGCTGTCTTGATCAATTTGTCCAATCCAGCCAGCTGTGTGTGGCTGTGTATACAGGAGCAGGTTCCACTGGCTGTTTACCAACGTCTTCTCTATGTACAATCTGCACTTCTACACCAAAATTACCTAGGGAAGTGCTTGGGATGCTCCACTCAGGATGTTAACTAACACATTTAAACATATAGATTGGACTAGACACAACAGGAGCTGCCTCAGGGAATTTGTAGGACTGTTTGAAGTCCAATATGAGGGAATCAGTCAATCCCTTACTTCAACCAGTCCATGTTCTCACTGGTACAGGTGACTGGCTGGGAAGCTCCTGGACCACCAGGGAGTTAAGGAGTTAAAAGCACTGCACACGAGGAGCAGCACAGCCCATACCCAGCTGCAGTGCAATTAGAACTAAAGAACAAACTTGATTTTCATATCACACAAGAAAATCATTTGCTTAATTTTTTCTTGCCACAGGTGAGCATCTCATACTGCTAAGGAGCTGAGCTGTGATTATTCAAATTCCCAGCTCCCACCTTGTGCCACTCTGGGGTGGCACAAACAAGCCTCAGTATCTTTCATGAAAATGAAAAGTACTGTGTTTTTGTCTCACAAAAGAGGTGAGATTAGTACACACAGGTGGAAAATCACAACTTTTACCATAGCTAATGTGTAGTAAATCACTGTGCAGCTAAGCTGGTGTGTGGTAAATTACCGTGTGGCTGCCAGATGGTTGTGCATTTGTGCCCTGGAGCTTAGAGCCTCCAGCAGAATAAGAAATGCTGCTCCAATAATTTGAGAGGCATCTGCAAGTCCTTTATTGGTCAGGCTGCCAAGATATATTTAGCAGTTCAGCAAAGGAAAAAAAAGCCAAACAGAAATGATATTCTGTGTAAGGTTGTGGGGCTGTAGGGCTGCCCTCAAAGGGCCACATTCCTGCAGGCTGTGTTGGGATAAGAACTTAATGCTCCTGCAATCTAGTAATGTGTTTCCATCTGTGAACAGGGCAAGGGAATGATTGTAATAGTGGGAGGAGATTGAAAGTGAAATGATCTTGTTTCAGGAGAGCTGCATTTCACAGATTGTGAGCAGGTGATTTGTTATTTTTTGGGTTAATTTCCAGAACAATGCAGGCAAGAGGTGGTGATCTTCAGGAAGCAAAAGACAGTAACAACATATTCTGCCTGGGCTCTCTCTCTGCCCAGGCAGGGTTGGCTGTGCTTTTGTTGATCCCCAGCAAAGAGCTCTGCTCTTCTAGCTGGGAGGAGGAGACCTAGACCCCAGCTGAAATACCTCATAATTGGGCACCTCCCAACTTGGTAAGAAAGAAAGGGTGAGAAGTGGAAGAAGTCAGCAGGCCCCTTGAGAGGAAGGAGTAAGAGTAGCCTCCCTGGGACACTCGTGTTCTTCACTCCCAACAGAAACCAGCAGCCCAGCTCACCCAGTGCAGGGCAGAGGGATGACTGACCGTGCCAATGCACTGACATGCAGATGTGGTTACCAGTGTGCCAGGAGTGGCAGGACATGGAAGCAGTTAGCTTGTTTTATCTTCCTTGCACTGTATCCAGCAGAAAAAAATGATTTGGCTCCATGAATGGTGATATCCAATGGTGACTTGCTTAAGTACTCATTATTTACAGTGCATGATCAAAACACAGTTTATAGCTAAAGATAAAACTTTAAGATCTACCAGTTTGGGCTGGAGAAAAAAAACGAGCAAGCTTTTGGATACACAGGCCCTTTTTAGGTCTTTAGACATAGAATCACTTCTCAAAGCTCATTTGTTTTCCCAAATGTATTTGATAGTCTAATAAAACACACTACCTCTGTCTATAAAACCTGTGTTTTCTGTGTCTTTGGGCCACTGAGATTACCACAGCACTGTACTAAAACTTCTAATAATTGTGACTTTTGCTTGCAGAAATCAACAACCCAACTGAACTGTTGTCTGACCAAGTGACAGAAGACACAATTACTGTTTCCTGGAACAAAGTCCAGGCTTCAATAGACAGATACAGACTGAGCTACACCTTGGCTAATGGGGACACAGAGGAGACAGAGGTGGAGAAAGACAAGAACGTCACTCCCTTGGCAGGACTGGAGCCAGGCACGGAGTACATCATTTACATCTGGGCAGAGAAGGGAGAACAACAGAGCAAGAGGGTCAGCACTGAGGCTGTGACAGGTAAGTGGACAGTAGGTTTTGTTGAGTGTAAGCTCAGAGATCAGAGATCAGGCACTGTTAGGCTTAGTCCATCCTGGACAGTGTAGTTCACCACCACACTATGATCTCCTCTCTGCTTTTTCATGACCTCTGAGCTTTGATCTTCTCTCCCCCAAAACAGGGAGCTCAAGCATATCTGTGAAAGGGCTTCCAGGTCTCTCCAAACATCTATGTTATCTCTACACAGCAATTCTACTTCTCAAAACAGAGGATAAACAGCATCAGGCATAATATATGGGGTTTCCCACACTACTACTATTCTGCAGGCCTCGGCATTCCCAGCTGTAAGGTCACTTGAGTGAATGTACCATCTTGCTCACTGTTCTGCTTTTAACCCGTCCCTCCCAACAGAAGGACCCTGCTCTCTTGGTATTTTGTTTCATGAGCTCTCTTTGCATTGCTGGGTATTGAAGATGCATGGTTGTAACCCCACTTAAATTATTAAATGTAATAATTTAAATACCTGCCTATAGGCTCCTATAACAGACACTAATGCTATAGGTGATTCTAGAAGAGGCAGATGTTGTAATACAAGAGTGATGACAGCTGATGGTCCTTATTTCACTAGTCCTTCATCAAAAGCATGCGGTGCTTCATGTGCTGCTACCAAGCCCAACAATAACAGAAGTTTAACAACCAAAGTGAAACCATTTCAGAATCAGAGACAGTTAAAAATAATGGCCTGCCCTTTGATTCGTGACCTTAGGCTGGTCCTAGGAGGCTGCCAAGCAGGCTTACATCTGTCCTGTTCGGTCAGCCATAAGGATTGTGGTAAACTGGGAACATTCAGGGTCACTCTGTATCCATTGACCTTGTTAATGTACTTATTTGTAGTTTATGAATCCAGCTGGTCCAAGATAGATGGGTTGAAGCTTGGATTTAGGGCAAGATGCCAAAGAGTTCACCAGTGCTTACGGAGGTTGAGGGCAGCTGATGGGGACAAATGGAGATCTCTTGAGGTCAAAAGGCCAAACCTATCTGGAACTAGAAATGCAAGGAGTGTTTCATCAATTTCAAATGGATTTTTTTTTGAACTGGCACAAAAACAGAGGCACCTGGAAATTTCTCATGAAGTGAAACTGTTGGGAGAGGGAATGCATTTAGCACTAGTAGGGATATTTTTGAAGTATCTTCAGAAAAAATTACACCTCTGCTAAAATAATACAACTTCTGAGGAAAAAAGAATACATTTTCTCACTCAAGGTGCTGGCTGATTATTCCTAAGCATTAAAACCGGCTGTGGCAGGGAGCTGCTCTGCAGGGACCTCCTGCTCCCATGGGAACTGCCGGCCGGACTTTAAGGGCAGTGCTGTGAGACTACAGCCTCTGAGGCTGCCTTTCCCATCCGGGGCTTCTCGGGATGGAATTCGTTCCTTTTAGCTCCCTCTCCTGTCCAGCGGGAGGTACACAGGTAGTCAGCTGCTCTGAGAACATTTCTGGGCTGTTTTACTTAAAGCAATTGTTTAGTGCTCTCCCAAATGAAGTCCGAGTTCGTCAGGTAATGGACTAATGCTTAACTTCTCAGCCGAGTGAAAGGTGGTCTCAGGTTGTAATGAATAGCCAGCATTATAAACACCATGGTGTGTGAAATACAGTGTTACTGTCCCTGTTCCTATACTTGGTGTTTTGATTTCTTCTTCTCTGCCTTTTTTATCTGCTTCAAGCAGTAACCTTATGCACGAGGAGTGCAGCATTTCCTGGGAGGAGCCACCCTGCTCCACTCCTCATTTAAATAAGACAGACAAAAGTTGGCCTTGGCTTTCTCCATGACCTTTTCACAACTGTATTATTTCACTGATGCATTATAATTGTTGGTGTGTTTATGCTTGCAGCACTCTTCAAGGCCTGGGAGGCTTTATTGCCTGGTTTATATAGAGAAGAACTGAATTGACAGACAAAAACATGACCATAGTCCTCCAGGGAGGCTTATGGAAGAGCAGGGAATTGAAATTAATTATTCAGTTATAGTTTAAAATAAACTCAGGTGTAGTTCAGTGTTGGAGCACCCATCCCTGGAGGCCAGCAGTGCCCACCAGGGACCTTTGCTCTAAAACTTCCAAAGTCAGACAAGCTCTTCCTGCCCATGGAGTGCCCAGGCTGGCCCACCAACTGCACCAGAAAGCCAAACCTTGCAGGCTTTCTTTACCAGGGATAAGGGCTGTTGTTTACTTTTTACAGCCCGGCGCTCAAACTGCGATTTCTCCTAGGCAAAATTCCAGACGAACCAAGATTCCTCTTGGACAAAATGTGCCAGCAGAGAAAGCTCTTGCTGCCTGTGGAGTGCCCAGGCTGGCCCACCAACTGCACCACAAAGCCAAAG